CTTTTGCTCGTATCCCAGCTCCAGCTCCGTCTGTTTCCGCATTTGTTGCTTGCCGGGAATAACGTTTTCTGCATTTCCCGGCACCGATGAAAGGCGAGCACACCCTCTAACGTTTCTCCCTTCCGTCTTTTCAGCTTCAATATTCTTTTTTTTGCTCGGCGCCGGCGACCGTTTACGATGTTTCAGGTCTTCTCCGATTGCATGGCGAATATCGGATTTCAGCAGGAAATGCTTCTTCAAACAATCTCAATGGGGTTCTTATCGTCAATACGCATCGGATTCCGAAGTGATCGATAGCGGAACACGATGCCCACGTAGACGACGACGACGACGACCATAGCCAACGTCGATCCATGAAGCCCGCAGAATCAGGATCGGATGGTTGAGAAATTACAAGTAGACGCACGCTCAAAGCCGCTAGGTGAGTTGAGCGAGAACACGAGCGCCAAAACACGAGCATCACTTATAAGATATTCATGTTATGTGTCACGTCAGAGAGCGGCGTCCGGCGAACTACTACGTGTTCTCTCCGCTCGCTGTGTGGATTTATATCGTGCCGGTTGTACAAGATGAGAGCCTGGCGACCCCACGACCGCGTATTCCCACTCTCCGCCTCAACCGTGTCGGCTGCAAGCGAATCCGCCAGCAGAGTATGGCCACAGTCGAAACCCGAGTCGGCCCGTGCCGAGCGTAGGCAGAGCATGGTAGGAAGTTGGGCAACTTTTCGGATTAAGTTGGATTGGTCTCGCTGCCGCCGAACTGTCACTTCCGTAGCCGAGAGCGATTCGCCTTGGATTGGGATAGCTCTCAAATTAGGCTCCCAGCGAGCGTGTTTGTATTCGAGGCCCGTGGACGTCGCGGCTTCGGCCGTAACCTCGACCCATCCCCGTTCACCGACCCACTGTCCGGCCGGAGAGCTTGTTTGTCTTACGAGCGCGACAGTACGCGACCCACGACCCCCTGACGTAGATCTTGCATTTCCCACCATCGCGGGACGTTGAGTGTCCGCTCATACACGGATCTGGATATCATCCCCTGCAGGATCCAGATGAACCCTCCGTCGCCGGATCCCGTCTGAGGGTCGGAGCGCGGGGTCAAACATAGAAGGGCGAACAGGAGCATCATCGAGATTCTCGCGACATAGTGCATTACAGAACGTAGCTCCTTATACTCCTGTAAGATTCTCTATAGGTGACAAGTGGACCGATATGATACCCAGCACACGGGGTCCTCGTCGAAGAGCCTGGCGATGGTTAGGCACGCAGGAGTTGTGTCTCTCCGATACTGAACAGGAAGAAAAAGACGACGTGTTCCCTAGCGGCTGCGTGTGACATGCCTTGCCATTGATAGGAGAACAGCTCGCTGAGTTGCTGTCCTCAGCATCAATGATGAACTTCTCAAAGGCTCACTCCTTCGTAACGAGGACAGACGACGAGGTCGCTAGCTCGGCGGGTTCGTCGCAGCGTTGGCTGCAGTCCTCGAGGCTAATGATTAGACCCGACCGGCTGAGAGCTCCTTTCTCGCTTCGAGCTCGACACGATCACGTTATCCGAACTACTCCGAGAAGGAAATCTTGCCCCTAAGCGATGACACCACATAAATAGTACTGATCCATCCTCAAGTTCAAGTCATTTGAACTTTCTTCTCAGATTGACGGGGAGTGTCGCCGCACAGGCGCGTGTGCTCAACTTATTGTACGAATACATCGACAAGAAGGGGGAGGGGGACTGGGGGCGCGCTCGATGAGATTCGCTTGAATTGGACTGAATGTTTTTTGAGGAAACGATTCCCCTTAGTTTCTATATTAGGCGGCCCACCTCCTGAAGGGAATCAGGAGAGCTACCGCTCCGAAAGGTGACCCGGCTCGTCGAGTCACGAGCCAGGTTCCCCAAGAACATCGCGTTGGATTCAGACAGCGCGAGCTCAGCTGAATATGTATGTATATCCACTCATTAGGTATTCCCGTTTATAGCACTCTTGTTGAACGAACGTGACCCGCGCTCGGGTTTTATTTTCGATTCCAATTCCGTATTGAGTCCCCGGTCCATGCTGCACGCCGCTTTCCCCTCCCCCGCTCCCTCGTCGTTCTCCCGCCCTCATAATCAGGCCAGATACCGAACGACACGCATAGTTCTTTGGTCGACGCACTTCTAGCTAGCTTAGCGGGCGTTCGGCGCTCGTGAATCACTTTTGCTTCCGAGTCGGATGCATTGTACAGAGTTTGCCTTCCCCTCCTGCCAGCTCGTTGATTCAATTAATTTGGCTTACAATCCATGTGGAGGACTCAAAGAAGCGTGTTTATGTGAGCTTTGGTGAGTGATATCTCGTGTGTTTGTATGTGACACGCTAGAGCCGACACGTGTCACATCTCAAGTACTGTTGAGTGACGGTCAATCCAGGATATTGGAACGGCCCTAGATGAACCGCGCAGCGTGGAGGGTGGATCCCTCGCTGAAATCAGAAGCCTCGATACGATATCTGAGAGCGAGGAGCGTTCTCATCCAACACAACACTCTCGAGGTCGGGGACCCGACGTTCTCAACGCCTGATGATCCGCCGAGTCGGATGATGAAAGTCAATTATTGTACTCGAAAAGAGAGGAGGAGCCATTTTCCGTTCCGTGACATTTTCTCAGAATTCATTTATTTACAGCGTCATTTCTTTGGGTTGGATGATAACATTTATACCTCTTTAATTTTCCTTCTATACAAAAATCGTGTTCTGTCGCATCGATCTGTCACCATTCCGTGTCATTGATGTTGTTGAGATCTACGTTTTTCTTATGATGCATATATACACTCCGTCGTATTTCCGTACTCCTCGTTATTACTATTCATGCGTTCCGCGAGTCAGGTGTTCAATTGGTTTCACTCACTAGACGATTTTCTTATTCTTGTTGATGTTCTTGGTTGTCACTCCGCTCACTACGAATCCTCCTGTTTATTCCTGCTGCTTGTCAATATTATTCCTTGCAGTTCGGATCATCTCCATGATTTCTCGGCTTTCCGCATATTATGTACAACCCTTCAAGACGAAGGAGGATTTCCCTCCTCCGTTTGAACATCTCTTCGCTGTCACTACTCATTCACGCATCCTTCGATTCATGATCAATGGTCGTCATTATCATCATTCTCATCGTCAATTCAAATGTCGACTCGATACTCAGACGTTGTTGCTCCCGGTTGTCATCAGGAGAAATGATCATCGTTATTTACAACAAGTCGGGAAATGCACAGGCGGTCTCACCAGGGAGCTGGGAGCGGAGAACCGATTGGAGACAATCGATATGTCGCTGATTCAGACTTGGGCGAATCCTAAGAGGTCGATGAGATTCTTCCGGAGAGGAACATCTACATAGTATTCGTTAGAAATCGATGCTGGAAGAACTCTGAGGCGGAAAATTGAATCGAGGGCCTGCGAGGTCGAAAGTGGGAAACTGGTCAGATTGATGCACAATGCTCTGCTGTGGGGGTGTCTTCAGTGAATTAATCGAAGGAGCACTCCGAATGCTTCCGCGCTCCCTGGTCTGTAGTCATATTGAAGTGATGCAGAGCACAGATTGATCGAACTCCAATCATCACTAGCTCCAAACTCTCCTTAGTATAGATGACTCAAGTCTCGTCGATCTCCGTCGAGGAGACGACGAACTATTGGAGAGGATTTTCTCCATGAATGGAAAGAGGAACTCCTCCCGAATCCCTCACCATCCGAACCATGATCGATAATGAAAACAAAATAAATAGGCCATTCATAAACTCTAGTATCGCTCTTAAACGACGTTCCACCGGAATTCTCTCTCGAGACAGTAAGAACGTGGCAAAACAAAACAGAACTCAGTCTCATTCGGTAATTCGAGCTCGCTAGCGGGACAGGACGCAATGGGACACATATCTCGCAACCAACATGTTCAGCGTCCTGAACGCATCCGAAAGTCAGTTGACATAATTTTCCAGGCCAGGTAGTATCTAGCTTATTGACTGACTCACTCATTCGAGCTGACTGACTATTTTCCTCTCTAATCAGCAGCAACTTCGGTACTTATCGGTTCTGACTCTGAGATTGTTATTACTTCATTCCTTTCTATCGAACTCGGGAAACCGTGTCCTCCTCCAGTCACTCCCTCGAGGAGATTCGTTGCATAGGCCATATTTACACTCACACAAATCGTGTTTGGCTTCGTCGCCGAGTGGCAAATACACTCATTCTTCGTTGTGAGTAGAACAGCTTCCCGGACTCTCTCCGATCGTCCGAATCTGTTCATCTCCATCTCCCCGGACCTGACTCCGAATTCCGGACGCTCGACGGCTGTCGACGCCAATGATGACGGCATATCCGGAAATTCATAGTAAGGCTGCCACTCAGCGGGAGAGAGTAAGCCTCGACTTTGGTGCGGGAGGAAATCGATGAGTCCTCCATCTTTTGGATGTAGTACACTCATCTCAAAAGCAAATGCGTCGTTCACAATGATATCGGGCCAAAGTTCTTTGGTTTCCCATCTAGCATCACATTTACATAGCGGACCGATTGCCACGGCTCCGTCTTGATGGCGTCCTCTCTCCGCGATCGGCGCAGCCAGACTCCGTTTGGACCCTGGCTCGGAGTCGCCCACTAGGATGCGTGGTTGAAGAGTCTGTCCGGCGAGCTATAAATCTCAAAATACTGCGAAAATCTCGATTACGAGAAGGCCTCCTACCAACGTTCTGGCGGTGTTCACTGGATAAGTCTGTTCGTCGACTCCCTTCGTAGCTGTTGTGAGAATATTCTTTCTTTTTGGTACGATATCGTCTCATCGGGAAGGCGGGAGTCCTCCCTCGTCTTGGCTGCTCCTCTTGCGTCACTTCTTCATCTTCCTCCTTCTCCTTTCCTCCTATCTGGACCCTGGATAGTGTTAATGAAATGATGATCTGTAGGGATCGGCACTCAGCGTGTCGACCATCCTGATGCAGAAAGTGAAGAAGTCTTTCCCAGCTGCCCATAGTTTTCCAAGGGGGTTGTTGAGAGTACGCTCTGATCTTCCATTCGCTCTCCCGAAACCTTCCGTGCGACAGTCTCTGCAACCTTGGTCTGGTCGGCTTCGGGAAGAGTCGTCCCGAAAGACTCTCACGAACGAAAGTCTTCCCAACGTCGGAAGTGGATCACTCGGTGGACTCAGGCGTATCTCTCAACGTTGTCTGGATCAGCGTAGATCGGAGACATGGGCTGCGGGATGGGAGGGGTGGGCTATAGGTAGATCTTCTTTACCTGGAACAAGCGAACAAATTAACTCCAATGAACGGAATGGACCAGCAAGCGGAATGCACTCTCTTAGGACCTCTCTCACGTGATGGGAACTAGTTTACCTTCTGCAAGGTGGTCTTGTTCTCAAGGGTGGCCTGGTGATGCGCGGCCATGTTGTTCATTTGTACAGCATTTGGATTCGACAAATGGTTCGTGGGCTTGCCGTTCTTGTTTAGCACTAAATTTATCGGCCGAGGTCCTCCAACTGGCGGCAGTGCGTAACTGAGTTCATGGTGTCCATAGGTTCCCATGCCCAGATCAGGGGCCATGAGTCCGTTCATCCTCTGAATGTCGACGTACCTGAATGGACAACGTTCGGGAATGATTTTCTCGTTCGCGAGAAGTCAAAGCAGACAGACTAGGAGCCGCAACTCGGCTCCGAAGAGAGGCGACGCATCCGATGTTACCTCGTGTAGTCCTCGGGACCGCTGTCCATGTCCATTTCATTTTTGCAGCGTCTCGCGAAAATATATCCACCGATGAAGCCGAGGACGAGAGACGTGACAATCGATGTGGTCACAGAAATAGCGAGGGTCTCCGCGGAATACACTCGGGATGATGAGAAAAATGTACCAGCCGTCTGAATCATGTTCGGATTCCTTTCGGACTCGCTTTTCCATTCGAAACCATCCAAATCTTTCCCGGTTTCGGCCTGGTTCACGACGATCGCACCGGAATTCGGTGGAGCTGAAAGCGCGTAGGGAACGACATTATTCCGATGTCGGAAGAACGTTCGACGATCGTCGTACACCATGCGAGAAGCACAGGGGAGACTATGAACGAGAGTTCTGTTTCAGGTTTGAGGGAAAAAAAATCCGTTGCACAATCATCTCGTGACGGAGAGCCGAGAAAAAGATATTGAGTCGCAGACAACGCCTATCATATCGATTGTACGTGCGTTAGAGGAAAAGCCGTTACCGAAGTACAATGCAGTTTTTCTGTCAAGAGCAGACTTGGAGCACGGGATGCAAGGGGTCGTGGGGGAAGCAGTCGAAGAGTTGGAAGAAGGAGCTCCGACCGAAGGGAAGCCCCGACCGGGGCTCGGACCGATTGTGCGCTGTTCTTCGGACTGATTCTCTGACTTCTGGTTGGCCACCAAGGTTTCAGAGAGCGTATCTCTTTCGTCAACACCGTTGTCTACTATTTCCTCGAGCGTTCCACGATTCCCGACTGGTTGAGGTTCGGAACCGGGTTGCATAAAAGAGGGAGGGAGGACGAAAAATAAAATGAATACATGCTCGCATGCTCGCATCGACGGAATAATGCTAGCAAATCAAGCGAATCATAAATAACTCAATCGAACCATGCTGCAGGTGCTACCAGCATTAGCGAAACGAAAAAGCTAAGAGGCTGATCGAATTCAAGTGATAATTTTTCGGTGAGCGCTATCACGTGCAGCTAGGAAGCGCATGGATTTATCTCAGCAAGTCATGATAGGGAAGCAGAAAAATACTCACGACCACATCTCTTGTCGAGACCCTCCTCGATGCTCTGAACGCTGTTGTCGCGATCCCTCCGCCAATTATGTGTGCATTTTCGTTCTTCATTCGACCACGCACAGTACGGATCTTGGAGTCGAACGCAATCGAAACAGGTCTTCGCTCGGTGGCAGTGGAACAGAGGAATTCCTTGGATTTCACTATTGCTCACCACAATCAATTTCTGCTCATAGGGAGAACGTTGGACGATCAGGTTGGTGACTGGCACCGGTGTCTGAGTCTGTCCCACGAGCGGGAACACCTGTACGTCTTCTACGACGATCGGACCCTCGTGTTCTTTGCGGAGAGACGCAACGTTGACCACCTTGACCACGTGGCCGTGATCGGTACCAATAAAGAGAACGTCGTACATCTTGCCGTTCACGCCTTCGACCTGAGCGTCGACAGCGATGTAAGTGTATCGGTAATTGAATCCGGTGTGAACAACGATCGGTCGACCGAAGTAGGACGGTACAGCCTGGTCCATGAGGGGATGATTCGTGATGAAGTTGAGGGTTACGTCCGGTAGCGATTTGCTGTTGTTTACACATTGACCCGGTCGGGGCTCAGGAACCTTGGAGTTGATGACCGGCAGCCAATTGGAGTTTTTCTCTTCTTGACCCTTGAAAGGTCCGTGGAATACTCTATCGATGTCGTCGACCCGGAAGGCGCACACTGCAGAACCAGACATCGAGTTCGTGCCGGTGGTGAGCACCGAGTAAATGAGTCGAGCCCGCTCGCCATTGTACGAACCATCGACGATAGGACTCGTCGATTGGAGCTCGTTGAAATAAAACGGCATGTCACCCGGAATCGAGCAATTGAGACGGGCTTTCAAGAACGAGGTGAACCTCTCCTTGAATTTGTGCGGACCTCCCTGGTCGTTGGTGCAAACGCGTGCTACTCGAGAATATATAGCTTTTCCACAATTGATAAATTCCACCGCGCTTTCCCGGAAGAAGAAGTATACGTGCGATCCAATATGCATCGAAGAAACGAATTGTGGAGCTGAAATGAATAGCGGACGACCGTGAGACCTTGCTTGCTTCGCAACGCCCCCTCCCCTTTTCCACTCCTCTAGATTCACTCCCAGAGGGGCGTAGAGTTTTTTTTATCGTCCCGGAAGAGGGTACAGTGTGAGCTGCGAACGGAATCCGCAATGTGACCGTATCTCCCGAGGATCGATTCCGGTCTCTTTTGCTGCTGTCGGGACTCACCATTGAGATGCTTCAAGTCAAACTGCTCGGTGCGGAGTGGTTTCCGGTAGATCAGGGGATCCGCGCCGGAAAACTGACCCACTGTTCCTACGTACAGGTCACCGTCTGAAACAGCGAAGCTCCGTCTCAGTCTGATCAAGTCAGCGATCCGAAGTTGATATTCCCCCCGGAGAACTTGAGAAGCAGCGAGGAAAGTGTCAACTAGCCGTGCAGTTTCGAATTCCCGATTCGAGTCTAAATATAAATTCCTTATTTACCTGTTCGATAGCCGAGTGGTGCTGATTATTCGGTTAGCAGCGTGAAGCAGAGGTTAGTCAGTTAGTGAAATCGTGGCTCCAGAAAATATTCATCTTGAAGCTTCGTGAATCCCGGCAGTGATCGAATCTTCCTGAGGTTTTTTTCCCAAAACTTACCGGCAAACGTAAATGTCGAGTTGTGGTTCGGGTCGTAGGGACATAAACCCTCCCCGGGTTTTTCTTCTGTGAGGCTAAACTCGGCATTTTGATGGCCGTCTCTACCGCTCGGCACCAGAACATAGTCTCTGCATTTTGGCTTGTAAGCGTTAGTTCCGCAAATCAGGACTCGATCGTGAGCTTTCTTGGCGATCACTCGGATGTAATTGTGACAGGCGGCTTCATCCTTGCCCTTGAGCCGACACATTTTGATGTCGGACTCCGAGGAATTCCATTCAATTTTCCGACGGACTTGTAAAGTCGAAGCCGAAACGTTGTACACGGTGTTTCTGTAAAGAGAAATCGAGATCATGCGTCACGAATGCTCTCTCACGGACGACAAATGGGCACGTTGGCGCAATACGGCGAGGCTACAGCATACTTACTTTGCTCCAATGAGGAGGTAGTCCCCATCGTGATCCAGTAATCGGAAATGATCCTGATCTTGCTCACTTTTGAACCGAACCAAACGATCCGCGGCTGAAATACACAAAAAAAGACCGTCATCAAGGCTATTCGATTTCTCGTCGAGGATCACAAGAGCGCTGCCCGGCGAAGATCGTATCGAGTCCAAACTCCGAGTTGAGGAAGAATTTCTTGAGACGAAGGAGCCCCGAATACGGGTCAGGAGAACGCCATCGCCAAGGGAACGGAGTCTCCCGGAAGTGCTCCGGGTCGCTGGCGCCGGCGATGGAACATCATCTTATAATTCACGACATTATGCTCTGCTCGGAAAACTATCGCGTTCTCATCATAGGAGTCCCGCGGATCGATACAGAGCTGTCTGTGCCACGCAACGGTGGTCGGGAAGGCCGAGCGATTCAATAGGTGTCTTGTTGAAATTAGAAACCGCTATCGCAGTGTCCGTCGTCATTTTCTCGGTGGGATAGCGGGTCGCCAGCTTCAACATAGACCAAACGCGAGTGGATTCTAGCGTGTTCGGACTCCGAGCTGTCGCGGCCTGCACCGTCGATGACGATAGTCTGAACGCCCACCAAATCGTCTCTTCGGGCTTATGTAGGCCACGACACCGAGCCGCACTGAATTCAGGGAGACACCGAGCCGCACTGAATTCGGGGAGACACCGATCGGACAATCACACATCAGCGGGGCTTCGAACTTTCTTCGATACACGTATGTATGTAGCAGCAGGTGACATCGTTCCGAGCCGCGCTTTCCCCTCTCATCATATGCCTCTGTCCAACGAACTTCACGACGGAATCGCAGGACAGGGCGGAAAATTTCGAGTGGTCGATTAGTGAGAAGAGTTTCTCTGAGAAGATACATCGTCCCTGGGATGTTCAACGGTTTCGAAAACCTTCCCCGGCAAATAACTTTTCGGGACTCGGATCGATCCAGAAAAGAATTTGAGTCGAAATGATTACGGCACGACTCCATTTGCACGCTTCCACTTCATGGTTGTTTGGAGTCGGCATCGATGGACACATCGGCTGCCGCCGTCGACGTCGCGTCGTCATCTTCGGCCGAGTCGCCGCTGCTCATTGAACTTGCTGCATCGATGTTCATCGTAAATATCGTCGCTTGTCCACACAACTATTTATATCTCATAACAGACTCTTTAGCGGAATAGACGAGCCAATAGAAGACGAAGAACTTCTAGCGATCCTCGAAGCGTCATCCGAGGTATTGCGTTGCCCGAGTCGGTCTTGTTTGGTTCGGTCCGTGAACTGCTCCCATCTCTTTTTTCCAGATGTATCGCGAACGAAAAAACGAGACCCCTGGTCCTGCTCAGTGTTCGGTCAATGGTCGAGCCAGAGGTCTAAAAAGTCAGTAGCAGCTTCGAGCCCGGAACGAAACGCAACGATTGGACTCGCATTGAGAATTTCCAGGTTCCGTTCCTTTCCCCCCCCTTTCCCCGCGAAGTATCAGGATCAGCGGATTTTGTCGTGCTATACAGAAAAAGAGGCGGAATCTCCTCGAGTTTTATTCATGCAGAACTCTGTTCCAATTCCTCAGATTACATCCAACGGATCTCCCGCAGCTTTTTCAATCGCACAGAATCAGCTTAGAACTATCGATCTCAAACGAGTCCCATGGAGATCCAATCTTCAAATCAACGACAAGGAGAGGAAGGAACTTCCGGAATGACGCGAAGAGCTCTCCGATACGTGATATTGCTGTTCTCGTGTATTTATACCAACGTATCTTCTTCTACGTGCTCCGGCAAGGGCGTCCGACGGGGAGCTTCGAAGGAACGACGTTCGCTCAAGAGGCTGCTCGGAAAGATGGGCGAGCGAGCAGGCCGGCGGTCGGGTGAGCGGTAGGTTCGCACCCGAACGGTCGAGCTGCCAGCATAACAAATTCCGCTTGAATATATGGATGAGATGAGGGGAAGAGATGAAGCATGCGTGCCATTTCACATTTTACACAGGGAAACGGCGGACAACTCATATTAAACGGAGAAGTGAGAGGAACTTGAATATATTCGGGTCTCTTTTCAATTCCCACAGGAAAACTTGGTGCTCCGGACCATTATCGTCCAGAAGTTTCGGCGCGGAGAGTTCAGGTTTCGACAGGATCTCACGGAGCCTGACTGTTGATGCTCTCGGACAGGACGCACTCGCTATCGCGGAAGAGTAAAAACCGCAGTGAGGCGTTTTCCGCGGACGATAGATAATCCTACACCCTGCTTCGCTTGCACTGGACACTCTCATGAAAACACTCGTCGTCAACGTTAGCGATCCGTTCAGATTTATCCCGAGCATGGATTGGAGCGCGCATATTCTGCAGTAGCTCGATCCCAAGTACAATGAGCGAGCGAGGGAGCAAGCAAGTCAACGGGCGGACGAATTCGTTCGTTCTTGCACCGGATCGCTCCCTTGCAGCTTTACGAGCCAAGCCAGCTCAATATCCTTCAGACGCGCGCATTCCTCAGGGCCGTACGTCACGACGCTGCGCTCTCCGAAGATTTCGTACGAGGCCCGCTGTCACTTTCGGGGGAGGCTGACTTTGCACACGAGGGCTGGGTGGCTGTCTGGCCGGCCGGCCGGCGGGCCGGGTGGGCAGACGGCTAAGGAAGAGGGAACAGTATAGAATGTCACCGCTTACCCTTCGCGCTCACAGAGTGGAAGATAGATAGAAAGGGGAAACGAACGCGTCCTGGGAGCTCGGATGTCAGGCCTCTTTTGCAAACCGCGTGAGATGCAGTCGAGCCTAGCTGGAGATTCCGCCGCCAAGAGAAAAACCGCGGAAGCAAAGAAAAAATATCACATTCTGTCGCGGGACCAGAGCTCTCCCGAACGACACGGATGCTGCGATCCCGAGTCGGAAAGATGGGGTTCACACACGACGGTACGACATTCCGACTCCCTGCGGCATGAATTAAATACACTGGCTCCCGACTTTCTGCGAGAATATCGATGGATGGGGAATCGTTGGCAAGCTGGAAGTCGGCTCCCGATTGTCATTCACATCATCGACATTCTCGGTGTGCTAATCCGTGATTGCGAACTGATCGCAATATATGAGTCGCAATATCAGTCACGTAGACGTTCGTCCACGGAGAAGTCGGCCTGCCGACGATTCTATGGTCGCTGGTCGCTGGGTTCGAATGACGATCTGTCAAAAGGACGCGACTACGATGTCCACGTTGGTCCGAAGGTGACCCTCCGGACGAGTCACCGAAACGACTACCGAAGTCGATTACGATGAGAACGTTGACGGCGGCGGCGGCCGGCGTCAACTGAAATGTCGACTAATACAACGAAGAAAGCGCATTGATCATCCCATTAGGAGCAGCAGCTCCTCTCTCTCTCGCTCACACACACAGATAGACAAATTTCTCTAATTCGTGCTCTTCCGCCACGGAGGAGGACCACCAAGGAACTGTTTTGCGAAGGTAAACTGGACAAAACGTCGGTCGCATCGTAGTTCGCCAATTCCGAGCAACAGCAATCGCCGTGGAATGACGACGCTCGGCGACACAGAATTCGATTGAGGTTCTGTCTGCGAAAAAAAGTTGGAATGAGCGACCACGCAGAAGACTGCTTTTGATGGGAGAATAAGGGAGAATCTCCGACGTGTCCCAGCTCCAATGATAATTTTTTCCGCTCACGCATCGATTGCGAGCTCACTCCACTCACTCAGGGAAATTCGAAAGGGGATAAATATCGGACATTCCCATGCTCCCGATCCCGAAAAAATCGGGTACCTACTCGTCCGTTCCTACACTGCGGGAGAAATATGTCCGGAACGGCTCTCGAGGAGCGTGCACAAGTGAGTAGGCGTCGGACGGATCCGATGCCGATCTATGTATGTCGTCGACAAAGGTACGACCACACGAAATTCCGCGGGTCGAGTCAAGACTGCTCCGGAGCGATTCCTATGAATGTTTCTGTTTGAATAGATGAGCTCATCACGCCGGCCGGCCGGCCGACCGAGCGTCAGTCGGTCCGTCGTTCCAATCGCTATTAAAGACCAGTGAGAGGCTTATGCATGGGCAAGGAGCGATTGACGGGGCGAGATAACATTCAAGACGAGCCAAGTTGAGCTGAACGATCAGAATGGAATACGATAAAATGGCCGGCAGCACGGCGCTGGGCCAACCAACCGTCCCAATGACCGTCTTTCTCGGCGTAGCTGCTCGGTCGGCCGGCTGGTGGGTCCTGCGGCCGTCCTTTCGACGATCCATCACAGGCTTGCGCTTCAAGTGCCTCAAGCTTTCGAGCGAGGAGCAAGAGAGCGAGTTCCACAACTCGCCAGCGACGTCTATTCAGCTCGGGAGGGCAAACCCGGACGGAATCGGGGAGTTTGTCCGGAACGGAATGGATCAAGAACATCCAACGGTACAGAAACACGCGTTCGCTCGGATCTCCGATGAGGGCGAAAATAAGCGGAGTGTCTGCTCATAAATAGCATCCGTAGCGATCGGAGACGTCGTCTTGGTTTGCTCGGTTGCTAACAATGCTTCGGGAGTCCTTCCTGTCTATTCATACTCTGTGGAACTCTGTTCCCACTGTCGTGAGCCAGAAAGAACAGGGGCGAAGCGTCGGCTTCGAGCAGCGAACAAGCTTCTGGTGTGGCTGTCATTCGGAAGACTACTTGTTCGTGGCATCCCTCTTTTCCTAGTTACTCAGTTGGAAATTGTCCCGGGTGACAGAAAGTGATTGAAAGCAGCGGAATGCTCTCCGTCGTTCCCCTCCCTCCTTAATTTAGCTGCAGCTTCTCATTGTTAGACGCCGCATTAGAAGCCTCTCTGAGCGGCGCCCTCCCATAAACTCGCTCGCTCCGATGATGATTCTGGCTCTGCGAGAGCAGCGCAATCGACGCCAGTCCATACGAGCGAGCAGCTACAACGAATTGATGATGTTCGGAGTGAGCATGCTAAGAGAGCGTTTCGTTGAAATGTTCGGCGTGTTTATCGACCGAGCAGCGCGTGGCAACCTCTGGTCGTCGTGCCGCGGCCGCTCCCTCTTCCTCCAACATGTAGCTCTCGTGCTTTCGTTACTTTTCCTCATCTC